TCTCTCTCTCTCTCTCTCTCTCTCTCTCTCTCTCTCTCTCTCTCTCTTTATATATATATATATAAAGAAAGAAAGGAAGGAAAGGAAGGGAAGGAAGGAAGGAAAGGAAGGGAAGGAAGGAAGGAGGGAAGGAGGGAAGATGTGAAATATAAAAATGCAGTGATTCCCCATAAGCTATGGTCTGTGATTTTTCATTCCTGTGGTCAGTTTTAGTACTAAAAAGTTGCTGTGTTCTTCTTTTATTATCTCATGTTCTCATACTGCACAATCAACTAGCATCCCTAAAAGAGAGCATGAATGTACAGACTCTGTGAGTTGCCTCAGTCTAAAAATCTAATAAACATCCAGAATTACTGAATATGTTGAATACATGGAGACTACAGTCTGACAAAGTCACTTTGTTCCATTATAATAAGATGCGGAATCTGAGCATCAAATTGTATTGTTTTCACTGCATTTTTTTTAATAGAAAAGTCTTTGGGACAAGGAAAGATGATAATGTTAATGTTATGTTAAACATCTTGTCTGATTAGCTGAGGAGGAAATTCTATCAGAGCTCTCCCAGACAAATATAGCAACATGAAAGATATCTATGGTTTCACCTGATCTCCAAACAGGTCATTAATAGTAATGAAACTTCAAAGACTCTCAAGTTAATTCAATAAACCTGTAGCTTTAGCCATCAGGACTTTTTAAAGAAAAGTAATCTTTCAATTTAGCTACATAAAATATTAGTATTGTTTTGAAAAATCTATAGGAATATTCCATCTTAATAACTGTGATTTCAGTTCCTTCATCTATTCCTGACTTGATTGGCATCATGTCTGTTATAATGGCAAGCTGCTAGTATAATTAGATTAAAATGAAGAGAGAAATGTGTACAAAATGTGAAAGAATATTGCCTTGATGAAGGAATGAAAATGGTAATCCATACTCAGAGCCTATCTGATGGGCCGGCAGAAATAAAATCATCTGAAATATTTATCTTTAATAGTATTTTTTAGAATTATTTACTGGTAGGAAAACTTGTAAGAAGCCATTTAATAATGGAACTCAGAAATTATATTTCATTATATTAGGATTTGTGTGCACCTTAAAATAAGTTTGAATAAATTAATGAATGTATGGTTTCTTAGCCTTGCCTTTAGTCCATAAAGATGTGGAGTGTGAGCACAAAGGACTCTGTGAAGTCCGCCTTTGTACTTAAGTCCAGACAGAAAGCAAGAATAAAAGTACTGTTAATCATATTTGTGATCTCCTAGAGCTAGTTGAAGGAAAAACTGAGATTTCTTTTTCTGTAGATCTGTTGAGGTCCATTCTAACCCAAGCCATTCATTCACTGATGTTATAAAGAATTTGCAGCTGTTCTTACAGATTATCAGTTGGTAAAGTAACCTCTATCCATGTCATTGAATGTAATAATATTTTTTTTATATTATGGGAAATTAAATTTTTATCTGTTTCTTTTGAGCAAAGATAAACTGAGTTGTAGGTGTGGTAGCTTGTGTTAGTACAGTGATAGACAGTTCCAACACAATTAAGCCCCAAATGAAATTCTAGAGTAGAAGCTAGAAAAAAAGAGTTAGGTCTTATACTGAAATGCTGCACTTTCCCCCCACAACAACGTGCATACTTTGTGTTTCAAGACCTGCGTTGTTCATTGTGCCTCTAACACTTTTATCATGAATCTGGGCATTA